TTTTGTCATAAATTTAAAGTAGGACTCAGAGCAGCACAAAAAATTATTGAATTGCTACAAGAAGAGATAAACACGCCCAATCGTACCGTAAGTACAGGCTCATGTTACTTCCTTAGTTCGAATTCAAAAAGAGAAGGGAACTGGGTTCTTGTGTTCATGAATCTCCCCTGGAACATCTGGCTAACCTGACTTAGGTTTTTTCATAGTACCACCAGGCAAATGTTGATTGGACTTAGTATCCCTAATCAAGTGACAAGCACTAAGACTTTTGAATACATTATTTACTAATCATCAGCCATTTGATACTATATAGTTTCCTCTACGAAGTGTGTTGTGAAATCATGAAAGGAAATGTGGTGCAGGAACAGTTTTGAATGTTATTAATAATCGGACACAACTTTCAGTGCCAGAAGAGATACTGTTCAACATCAAGATTGAGCCCTATGACAGTGAACTGGAGCTACAGATAGCCCTCAAGAAAGCACAGAGACTGTTACAGAATCAAAGAACAGTGTAGAAAAGGTACATCACAGCAGATTTCCTTTTTAATCCTTCTCACAAATGTTTGACTGTAGTATGGGTCATTTCTCTTATTCAGTCAAGGCCATCTCCTTACCTGCCTCTCTGCTTTTTCTCCCTGAGACAAGAGAGGAGCAGCTCTATGGATAGATGGTGGGAGGTGATGAAATTGTCCCTAACTACAGAATCCTGTGCCATGTTTATTCATTCATTCATTCATTTATTCAGCATTCCATAAATCCTTACATGGTTAAACACCAGTGGATATATAAATATAGAAATATAAAATATATATATAAAGCTCCAGACATTTCAGTACAACATACGTGCTGTTATGAAGTTATGTAATTTAGAAATAAATTGTCTGTTAACATAACACAACATATGCAGGTCTGTGAGGGACCAATTGAGGTGAAAATGGTCTGATTAACTGTAGACATGATGGGATGAATTAAATAAGCTAATATTTTAATCAAGAATGACAAGATTGGTGAACAGGTAATAATTCTGATGCATCTGTATTCTTTAATTTAAATATCTCCAAAACAATAAGACTTAGTGAAAATGTAGGCCTGTTTAGCATAAATTATAAATTTAAACTAAATTTATATGAGCTTCATAATTTGTACTCTTCACCAAATATAATTAGAATGATCAAGTCAAGGAGGATGCATTGAGCAGGGCATGTAGCATGAATGGGGAAAACAAGGAATGTATATAGGATATTGGTGGGAAAGCCAGAAGGAAGGAGACCACTTGGAAGAGCAAGGCATAGGTGGGTGGGCAATATTAAAATGGATCTTAGAGATATGGGATGGGATTGTATGGATTGGATTGGATTGGTTTGGCTCAGGATAGGGACCAGTGAACACGGTAATGAACCTAGCATTGCATAAAATATAGGGAAATTCTTGAGTAGCTACAGAATTGGCGGCTCCTTAAGAAGGACTCGGCTTCATGGAGTTAGTTTAAACACAGAGTAGCATCAGGCATTTAAATGTGCACCTGCAGCGGGCATTTAAATAAACTCTGGTCAGCTCAAGCTTACCACCATTTTAGAAGTCCGGCATTTAAAGGTTAAATAGAGCACCATTGCTGAGTTACACATTTTCCAGTTCGCCGTTGCACACGCACAATGATTGTCTGTCTTCATGAGTCGTCTCCTGGCAACATATCTCAACACAGAAACTAGTGCTTCAAATCATCATGAAGTCTTCTTGCCACTTATTCACTCACCCTGGAACTTCGGCACTCAACTAAAAACTCTTCCGGACCCCTCACTAATCTAAGTCTAATGTAGGGTGTGTAGCCCCTCTCAGGTTATTAGACCGTTTAGACCACACAATGCGGCAGAAGACACACAGCACCATGAAAAACAAGAACGTGTGATGGGTCTACACATTCTACATTATAAGAAAAATAACTCAAGCACAGCAGTCTTGACAGAACAGTTTTTAAATCACCATGATGACCAATGATAGTTGAAACATACAGTGGACAATGTGGTTTTTGAATAAGTTTAAAAGGCACATTATGTATACATAGTAACTTTGAAACAATTTTTTTAAAAAGTAAATTGCAAGGTAAGGTTTCTGTCAGTGCAGCAAGTATGATTATACAATCAATACTCAGACCGAATTCTTATTTTCCTACCACTGCATGTTTCAGTGCTCATGGGACCATCATCGGGCAGTAATTATGATGAATGATTGAAGTTATTTCAAGTCCAAAATATGGATCCATATTTAGTGCAACACATTCATATTACAAAATTAAGCAGTCTTCTAGGATGTGGCACCGTGTAGATGTGGTGTTAACCGACGTTTCGGAGGAATGTATCGCCTCCATCTTCAGGGTAGAAGGAAAAATAAGAAATCTGCAAGCGAAGAGACCATGAGAATTGGTACAAGCAAGTCTTCTACCCTAAAGATGGAGGCGATACGTTCCTCCAAAACGTCGATTAACACCACATCTACATGGTGCCACATCCCAGAAGACTGCTTTCTTCATAGTCACTGCCGTGAAAATCTCAAATCTTACAACTGAATTAAAGATATATTAAAAATTTGTTGCATGTGATGTTTATCAAAGGCAAACATTATTTTTGTAAGGTTCTATGTTATGAAATTGAAAGTTATACAACTAAAACCCAAAATATTAAAGCTATTAGAACAATTGCTAAGATTATGGTATATGATCTTAAAATTTCCTCATGTGTGCATAGTTTTCCTGTTGTATGAACACTGTTGAGCATCTCTCAGGGTGGAAGTTGTTACGCACGAGGTTATGCAGTAGTAAATGTATTATGGATATTATTACATGGGCTGTAATGGTGTGTGTGTGTGCATGCAGTGTGCATCACTGGGTAAAGACGTAAAAATATTGCTATCGTTGATATGTGTGTGCATCCTTCCTTTATGAGCATTGTATGTTGTAGCTTGGTTCATGAACAAAGTAGATAAAGGCATATTTTGTTGATTCTGATATGTAATCCATGTAGTGGTGCCCTCTCCATCTTTTCCATGACAGAAGAATGAACAATCGTACACTGGGCCAAACTCAGTTTTGTACTTAGTGTGGAATTATCCAAACACTAAGCACACTGGATACCAGCTGTACTGCTTTCTTCTTTTATACTGATTCAGAATGTACACATTCAGTTTCAAAGTGACAGCTTTTCATGTAGAATTCACATTCTTTCAGAGTACACAGTAAAACTGCATCTGACAGCAGAGAGTGAGTGGAGGATGGTGACCACACAGAACCCAAGCTGTTCATACACTATTTTTGCCTCTCCCTCTCAGTTGCATAGGATAAAGCTGATGAAAGATAGAATTGCTGTCTCTTTCAGTGTGCCCATATGTGTTATTTCCATTGGAAAATATGGAATTCATGTAACTTAATATCATTCATTCACTTCAGCTGTTTATAAATCATAATTGTTTTAGAAAAATAATTTATTTTACAGTCTTCATTAAAATAAATTATAACTTCATATAAAATAACTGAGCTAAAGCAAAATTTGTATATATCAGGGGTTACCTGTAGTTATTTATTTCATACACTAATTTTCTGATAAACCTATTTTCAATATAGCATAACTTTGGTTATTTCTAAATATGCACTGTATAATTGTTAAGGAATTATTAATAATGTAATTATATCTGTGATTGGGTTTATTATGTATTTTGTGAATGCAATGAACTGTACTTGTGACTGCAGAGTACTTTTTTCTGGGCTGTAATGCCATGCAGTATGTCAAAAGTGGACCTATGTTTCAGATAAACAGATTGCATCCATCTTCATGGTCATGGAATAAGCCGAGCAAGATACCAGCACGAAGCAGGTGCCAAGCAGACTTGTGACTTTTCGAAGTCCTTCTTACTGAGATCTATGGAATGGCATTTATATCCATTGAGATAATAAAGCTAATGTAATCTATGTTATCAATGATATTTGCTTTGTTTATAGTACAGAAGCTGTGCTTCCTCAGAAACTGGTTACAATACAAACAGCATATGTTAAATAATATAAGTAATAATGACCATGACTTTAAGTAATAATAAAACACCATATTCCATTATTTTATAATTCAAAATCACCAATAAATTATTTACAAAATTCACATTTATTCTTTTGAGGGTTATTAACAACCAATTAAATTAATGCACATATTACAATAAAAATATTAAAGATACTAAAGCTAAAATTATTTTCCATATTCCTCAACAAACAGATTAAATTTTTCTAGGAATATGAGAATGACATAAAGACCAAAGGCAGTGTCTGCTATTCCACATGTAAGACATTTATATGGTGATGGTACTTCCTAATTAACAACTATTTCCAGCATAAACCAGCATATATACTGGACATTTACCATTGCCTCATGTTTGGTTACAGATTACAATGTTTTGGAAACCGGCTGTGGTTCCATTATCAAACCCACTCTGCTGAGTCTATTAAATGCAGCTAATCAATATCCCTGGTGCAGTGATAAGAGTTGAGCTTCATCTAATGGAGCTAACAGAGTAGTTTCATACTTCTATCCAATGACAAAAGTAGAGGCAGTTTGTGAAACAGTGTTTCTTTAGCCAAAAATCAGATGGCTGAAAATATCCAACATATATGTCAGTTTAATAATACACCTTTGTCACAGATCTTTAGATTTATTTCATATTTCCAGAGTAGTTGTCTCTTCATTACTTGCAGATGTTGACAGAACTCTGCACTTGATGTGGCTTTTCAGAATTTCATGGGTGACTGAGCTAATGTGCACGACTACTTTTATGACAAGAAAGATCTTTTGGACCAGTCCCAGCATGAACATTGTTACTTAGTTGGTCATTGGTCAACCTTTTCTTCCTTAATGCGGGTGTACTTAAAATAGATGTTCTAGAATGTGATGCTACATGCACTGAACTATGTGCATGATGGCCAACATTATAACTATCTCTAGGTACCAATTGCTTGCTCGGTACTTCCTTTTTATGGGTTGGAGGATACTGAATGCAGATGTTCAATACCTTGAAGTCATTCTCGATATAAATCTGGAAATACAAATAAAACAAATTAAATTAAATTGTAGCCCCAAACTAATTTAATTACACCCCAACTGTCCACTACATGAGGTATATTTAACCCGTTAATGCTGAATGGTTACTTTAGAGGCAGTCCTTTAAATCTTGAGTATACCAAAATTATCAAACTGATGACACACATGGCAATACTGAGTGGCCCATATTAGTAACTTCCTGCATTATCTATGCAAGGCAAAATTAGTCAGTTTCTTATAATTTTGTTATTTGATCCACCACTGGGCCTGCTGTAAACATCAATAAAACAATGGTGCACTGTTGTATCTTGATTAGGTGTTATGAACCTGCAGCTGCATGACTTCATAACATAGTCCCCCTCATTGTTGGAGTTGGCAGGGGTAGATTTAGTTCAACTTCAGTACATCGGTTCTGTACCGCTAAAGCCACCAACCAAGGTGCAAAAGCTGTCCCACATTGCATAAATAAATTCAGTAAACAGAGTTATGTTACCAGTGGTGGTTTGTACTCCTGAAGTATGTGGTTATTGTTGAATATGGCCAATTTTTCTTTGAACACACAGCAGGTAAAAACAACAGGATTGTCTAAGAATCTTTGAATGATAAATTAGAAGAATCTAGCACGACAGAAGAGTTATCATGACTGCAATTATTTTGTGATTTTCCTCAATTCTTCCAGGGAAATACCTGGCTAGTACATCAAGTGAAGACAGGCCTCTTTCCTTCCACAGCTTTTTGTGTTTGTGGGCTTACAGATATGTCAGCTTCTAAGGCCGTCTATGCTCATTTAAAAGAGCACACAAAAAAAAGATAATAACATCCAATATCCAGGTCTAAGGAACCTGCCACCCCAAACATCAGAGGTGACACACCCCTGAAATGCCAGCATGCACACACAGAGCCATACAACACTCTGCCTCAGAAGACTGCCATGCCAACAATATCTTTTGTTGCCATATGAGGGTCAGGGACCAAATACTTCAGATGTATGCCTGCCTTTCCTCAATATTCATGCAATCAAGAAATTAAAGCCAGGAGCTTCACAGTCATGCATAGCCACATAATCCAGGCTTAATTAGTTAATATATATTTTGGCAGGTCATTCTACACCAATTTTTGCTTTATTAGTTGTTATTATACTGGCAGGTATTTTAATTTTCAATATTAAAGGCAGTGGTCAGGAATGAATATTCCAATTTAATCTAGGACTACATTTCTGGGTGACCCAAGTCAGTATAATACTTCATATAGTGGGCAACAGATAACTGAAGAGTAAACGGTCAACCATCAAGACAAATCTTTATAGAGAATCAATAACATTTCAATTCATGGTGTATGAAACCAAAAAATACTGCATACTACACCTTTACAACTCCTTTCCAAAAGTTCAGGTTAGTAGTCTGTGGCATGAAAATTTCAGTGCACGTTATGGTAAGCTCCACACTATCAGATGTGGGAATGATTCCAGCATTTGGGCTGACATTCAGAATAAAACCTGGAGGATGTTCTACAACAACTACTTCAAAATGCTGTTTGTGTACACCATATGTCCACAGGTGCACAGGCACACTATTCAGATGTGGTGGTTGCAATGTCAAAGTAGATGGGTGAATATTCCATTCACATGATCCAGGGGACTCATCAAGGTCTTCTTGCCTATGAACAAATATTTGATTACAGAGGAGTTAGAAAACTAGCATGTCTGATCCCTTAAGTAATAGCAAGATTCTGTTGGATTATACATATGTCTGGAACAAATGAATGTGAATGGAGGCACTGACAGTTATATGTTAATGATTGTGCTGTTTCATTCACAAATGAAATAACTGCAACATCAAGGTACCTTGTAGTTGAAAGATTGACAACATATTGATACATCGACTGGAATGCTTGGCTAGCATCAACACTATGGCCATCAGTAGCATTCTCTAGTAACAGTATAATCTCCTGATGATTCACACCAGCATTATACAACTCCAGTGCACTGTCCTGAAATAACCACATGAAAGATTCTGATTCATTTTCACTTCAATATAAAAATATCATTTTTACGAAAAGAATAAAGGCAAGAAAAAGTGTTTAGGTAATAAAATATTTGAATATGTGAGAAATTTCAGTTATTCAAGTTGCAGTCCAAGCTACAATAGACAATGAATGGGATTAATATAAAGCAATAATTTTCAACACCTTGCATTACTAAGGAAGAGCAAAAAGTAAACCTCATTAAAATTATGTAAACAGCCATACCTATGATGTACATGGCGATTCAAAGCTCTAGTACAATACTGGGAAGATCAGTTGAAACTGAAAATGTAATTCAGGTTTAAATTCATTTTGGAGTTACATGTTAAAACTGTTGTCGCTTTGTGTTACTGTAATTGTTTGCTGGGGGCTACACAATGAGATCGTAGAAGAAGACAGTGAAGAACAGTTGTCAGATTTGGACAGTAGTACCAGTAACAGGAAGACTGACAACAACAAAAATGCCTAGAATTATTAATGCAGAGTTTGCAAATATGCATTTCATGCATTCTTTTTGTAACAGAAATTCTCTCACTGCACTGGGGAACATCAGCATCCATATCCAGATTGGAGACAACCCTACAGATAGGTCTGAAACTGTGCATTGTAATCTGTGGGAAACAGATACTCATATGCTGCGTGCATGTGTTGGCTGTGAAGGATGTGACGGATATTGTATGCAATCTTCAAGAAGTGCATCCTGTTGTATTATCAGTGTCTATATATTGTGGCATATTTACTCCATGCAAGAACTGCTGAGCCACAGAAACAGCCATTCCTAAGTAGTGGACAAACACAACAATAGAATTGGGTTATGTAATCCATTTCTAGCCAATGGCTCGGTAAACACACTTCCACGCAGGCACAATGACATTACACCCCAACAGTGCTTAGCTATCATGTGACTAGTGTTTTCTGTGTGGTCTGTGCTATGCAAGATTAGAACTGTGTTTTCTGCCTTGTCCGTGCTGTGGCTACATAGCACGAGTCCACTTGCAGCTAAGAAGAGTCCAGGAGAGTTTTTAGTTGAGTTCCAAGGTTCCAGGGTGATTGAACAAGAAATGCCTAGAAGACTTCATAGTGGTCGAAGTGCTAGTTTTTGTGTTGAGACCCATTGCTAGGAGACGATTAGTGGAAACTGAGAATTCTAGTGCATGTGCAATGGTGAACTGTAAATTATGTACATGAGCAACAGAGCTGTAAAAAGAGTGATTAAGAGAACTTGTAACCGACGTGCTAATAAATCCAATTATCTGATCTAGAACCCATTATTTTTGTCATACATATCCCTTACATGTAAAAGTAAAAAAAAGTAAAACTATCCCTGTAACAGGCTGGAAGGCTCATAGGGTTGTGAGACGTTGAGGATCCCACATTATCTAGACAATCAGCTCAAAGATGGCAGTAAGGTTGTCAGCCTTACGCGCCGGCCACACTTTACTCCCCAGGAAAATTATTTGATTCCTGGTACTCATTTCTGTTAGAGGCTGAGTGAACCAGGGCCATAGTGCAGCCAGAAGGATTAGGTCAATTGAAAAAAATCCAATGGCCTCATCGGGATTTGAACCCGCGACCTTCTGACTTGTAGCATAGTGCCTCAACCACTACACTACCGCGTGACCCCTTACATGTGCTAATATATATATTGGTTTTTACCATCAACACAACAAATCTACCAAATAATTTGCTAACACTTTTAATGTGTTAATTGTGCATTTATTTTGGTTTAAAATACAATTTCGCTACATGTTTCAGCTTTTCATGAAGTAATCATCAGGCAATACATTCCACAAACTTAAATTATTGAGTTTGTAATTTGTATATGGATCCATATATTACAATTTTGTCCATTATTATAATCGGTTTCTCAATGTCTGTATGCACAGTATCACTGTTATGTTGCTGTATAGGGATGTACTGATTAATTTAAAATATCTTAGTATTAACTTTAAGATTAGTTTAAAAATAAAATAATTAAAATTAAATGTGACTATAAATTAATGTTATATATATTTGGGAGGGACCATTCCAACATATTTAGGGGGTACAGCATTTGAATGAGTCCCATTTTATGTATTTATATGTTCATGTATCTATACACTGTTGTTCCAAGAGATAAATGGGGTGAAATGAACAGGGCATGTAGAAATGATAAGTACATATAAAATGTTTGCCAAACAAACTTCAGGGAAGAGACCACCTGGGAGGAGACATAGAGGTAAGATGGGATAACATTAAAATGGACCTTAAAGAAATACAGTGCGAGGATATGGACGGCATTCATAATATTCAGGACTGCATCCAGTGGTGAGGGCTCTTCTGAATGTGGTAATGATTATTTAACGTCCATAAAGGGCAGGGTATGGCTTGACCAGCTAGGTGACTATTATGATTTCAAGGAGTTAGTTTTAGTTTCAAAAGACATATACGCAGCTTTATGAAGACCCCATAACAAGAAGAATGAAGAAGATACACACACACACGAAAGTAGGAAGAATACTCCGATAGAAGAAGATAAGCGTGACTCACGTATTGAGATACGACATAAGGATGACAAATCCTGAACAGTTTTAATATTTTTAATATTTAAAATTCATCAATATATATGATGAATATATATTTTAGTATAAAGACAACATGGCATGCAATGGAGTAGTTTGACGTACATCGAAAAGCACCTGAAGATGGCACTTTTGTGCTGAAACATGTAGTGCAAGAGAGAAGAGTATGGTGAATAAATGTATGCACTGTAAGACGGTTAGAATAAATCATGGACAAGAAGAATGGTGTTAAAATATTCTCACCTGAGGGTCCTTTAGTGACATTACATCAGGAGTCCCATGATCATCCTCACCTAGAAACTGTGCACAGAGAGGTTGCAAGTCAAGCTGAATATTGTGTGTTGCATGCTCACCATTCACCCCTCTCTTAGCCAGGTCCAAATTCTTCTCATGAATTCTATTTGCAGGAACAGGACAAAAGATTATTCAATACAAAATCCTTAAAAGTAAAAGCTCTCAAGCTTGTGAGGGATGAGCATCGACAGCAGCCAGAACAAAAAGCACTTAGAAAGGTATGAATGGTACAAGGGAAGGAAAATGCCGAGGTTCAGAAAATGTGAAGTTAAAGAGTACTTTTTTTCTGGGATGTATCACTGTGTAGTATGGAGGAAGTCCACCACAAACTTGTAAGAATGTACTGCCTCCATCATCAGGGTCAAAAAGTAAGCCAAACAGGAAATCAACAAGAAGCAGGCAGCAAGCAGTGTGCCATCTGCTTCCTGCTTGGCTTTCTCTTCAATGTTCCTCCGAAATTTCGGTGCACTTCTACTGGACCACATGGGATTACATACCAGAAAGTGGGACCCTTCATAGTCACTGATGTGAGAATCTGAGATCCAATATGCTGATGTTAAGTTCATGAAAACTGCAAGTTTACAAAATAGTTTTCATTCCTTACCTGTCAATACCACATCCTGCATGGACACAATCTCTCATATGGAGTTAGCTATTTTACTTTGATTTCACATCAGTTGGCACTTGGCACTACCCTCCATATTTAATGGACATTATGGGCTCTGTCCCAGGGAAAGGAGCCACTGGAACATACAGCTAACCACTCATTTCCATTTAAGCACTCAGGCCTAGAATGAGTGGAGTTCATAGCCCATGTTCCTTATACAGCATGGATACCAAAACTGCCTAACTGTTGTTTGTCTATGGGCTAAACTAACAAGTTAATACCAGTTTGATTTGTTTCATTCTGGTCCGTCACACTAACAATTACAAATATAAATCACTCCGTCCAATGTGACCTGTAAGTTT